GACTTCCACGGAGTCCCTGACCCCTGGGGCGTACAAATGGACCATCTTCATCAACGGCGCCTCTAGCTCGACAGGAAGCGGAGCGAGCATTATATTGAGAAACGAATAAGGTATCCTGATATAAGTCTCCCTCATCTAGGTGTTACCAACATTGAACAACCATGCCGAGTACGAGGCGTTCCTCGCGGGACTCTGTCTGGGCGAAGACCTTGGCACAAAAGAGGTAAATATTTTTATCGACTCCCAGCTTGTGGCTTCCCAGGTACGAGAAGAGTACCAAGCCAAGAACGACAACCTCGTCGTATACCTCTCCTTCGTAAGAGAAAGAATGAACAGCTTCGATTCCGCAGAAGTACAACACATTCCATGCGAACACAACACCCGGGCAAACATCTTGTTGAAACTGGCTAGCACGAAGAAAAAGGGCGGAAACAAATCCGTAATCCAGGAGGTCCTCTCTCGCTCCAACATTGAGAAACACACGCTAACTTTGGAGGTAAATGTTGTTGGTGATAGTAATTACTGGATGACCTCTTTTTACACCTACCTCAGCACAGGACGACTGCCCGACGATGCTAAAGAGGCGATCACGGTCAAACATCAAGCCTGCCCGTACGTCTTGATCGAGGACAAACTATACAGACGATGATTCTCCATTCCCCTTGTCAAATGTGTCGATGAATCCAAGGTACCGGTCATACTCTAAGAGATCCACAAAAGGATCAACGCCTAGCACCTCAACATAAGATCACTTACTCACAAGGCCCTACGAGCAGGATACTATTGGCCCACTATGCAGTAAGACGCCAAAGAACACGTCAAGAAGTACGACAAATGCCAACAGCACGGGGACATGCACCTGACCCTACCTGACAAGCTCAAAACACTCTTGTTGCCATGGACATTTGCCTGGTGGGGGATGGACATCCTCGGGCCCTTCACCATTGGATCCTACCAAAATAAATATTTTATAGTCGACGTCGACTACTTCACTAAATGGATAGAGGAGCCTTAGCCAAAACCACGACCCAAAACATACTCAGTTTCTACAAACAGAATATACTTGCCCGGTTCAGCGTACTCCAAGCCATCGTCACCAACAACAGGACACAACTAACTAAAAAGAATTTCCATGACTTTGTCACCAGGCTGGGTACGAAGCACCACTTTATGTCGGTCGAACACCCACAGATAAACGGGAAGGCCGAAGCTGCGAACATAGTGATTCTATGCGGTCTGAAGCGAAGGCTGGGAAACGCCAAAAAGAGATGGGTCGAGGAGCTACACATCATACTTTGGGCCTATATGACTACCCCGCACTCGGCAACTGGGGAGACCCTATTTTGACTGACCTACAAAACTGAGGCAGTAATTCCGGTGGAAATAAGAGAACCTTTCAGGAGAACGAGTCCCCCTTCCACGAGGAGGCAAACGACGAGGCGTTAAGGGAGGAACTCGACCTAGTCGAGGAAATCAGGTCGGGGGCATCCCTATGGGAAGCCTTGCTGAAACAAATGATAACCTTACGACATGATAGGAAAGTCATCAAGCGCAAGTTCTAGGTGAGCAGCCTGGCCCTACGAAGGAATCAGAAGGATTCACGCGAGGGCAAACTCGCCGCAAAATAGGAAGGCCCCTACCTCGTCTGTGTAAAAAAAACAACTAGGCTTATTACCTCGAAAACCTACATGGGAAAGAACTTGTTTGACCATAGAACACAGAAAAGCTCAAGCAATACTAAAGTTAAAAATTTCCCGAGATCACACTAGTGTCGCGACACAGAGGCGTGATATGGTACAGACGCAACTCTTAGATTTAAAATAAAAGACAAGAGTTTGCCCTTTACCTGTGCGGGCAGACCCTTGATCCAACGGGGACCCCTCAATCGAGCTCCACCACTACCGTACCAGTTAGGCAGAACACCTAGCTCACGATGAAAAGTTCTTGCTATGGCAAAGACCTCGACCGAGGTCTTGGATCCATCATCGATCAGATACCAACTCCGATCACCCGGCCACTTCCTTGCACGGTCGGCCACATAATATGCCGAGCAAAAAATTCCCGACGACAAACATATAAATGCTATCCATACATAGAAAACAAGAAAATAAAACACACGCAATATAAAAGTAAAATTACTACATTCCCAAAAATGGCGGGCATAGTCCATTGTTCAAGAATTACAAAAATGGCACGCAGGCCAGAAACAAACACATCAAAAATAGGCATGCAGGCCAGAAAAACAAAATAGGCACACAAGCCAGAAAGACAGAAACATTACAACACTAAGCGACATCATTTTCCTCATGCTCATCACCTGCCTCGGCTTGGTCGTCATCTTCCTCCTCGGTTACCGGCACAATCACGCGACCCTCAACAATCTGATGAAAGGGCCCCGTCCCTTCGGTGATGAACTGAACATTAGGGTTCATGATCCAGAGCTGCTCTACGACATAGTCAAAGCCCACCTCGAGGGCCCTCATGCAGTTATTCTCGAGTTCTTGGATCCTCAACACCAAAGCCTCCTGAGACAACATGAGCTTCTCCTCGGCAGTTTCATCCTCAGCAGGCCAGGAAGCCGCTTCCAACTCAACAATCCTTGCCAAGAGCCTTGTCCTCTCCACACCAGCGACCTTTAACTTCTTTTCCACCTCATTGTGGAGCTTGAACTAGGCAAAACTCTTTTTCTTGGTCTGGTCGAGATCAGCCTCCAGTTTGTTTCTCTCAGCCTCGACGGTCGCGAGGTCGTATTGCAACTTGGATAGGTCAGTAGAAGAGCATGCTTCATCGTTAAGGACCAGAGCCATCTCGAAGATTCGCATCACCGTGGCTAGGTCCTCTGAAAAAGTTTTCTTCCCCGTCTTCTAGTCATCACTCAGGATGGCCTTGAACTCGGCGACACCCACAACCAGAGAATTTTCCCCACAGAAGAAAGTGGGTTGCAGATAGTATGGCGGGAGCAAGAATCTCTCCTCAATATTACCCTTGGTAAGATCGACAGTCTCGGGCTCACTAATATGCGGCCTCTTTAATGTCCCTTGCGAAGATGGAGACTGACTGCCTTAGGGGAAGAGGAGGAGCCACCGGGCCTCTGGTTGGGACCGAACATTTGTTGTACTTGGGAAACTCTCCCCTTACCATCTTTCTTCACGCCTCTGCTGGCTGCCAACCTCTTTACACGCCCCTACATGCTCGACATTTCTCCTGCAAAAGAAAAATAAACAAATCAGTAAATCGTAAACCAACAGCGAAGGCACAGAGGGATCCCGAGCGAAAAGCGGACCCACTACCTAAAAAACGCATGGCTTCTTCCTCGAACACACACTAGAGGAGGGCTTTCGTGTTGATCAACTGCGACTCCCGAAGAATCTCCCCGTTTGAGTTGAGGATAAAATTCCCGTCCACCATCACACACTTTGCGGGAGTGAAACTGGAAACAAATGCTACCAGCTTCTGGTACGCCACCTGGTCATCAGTATCCAACGAGCCTGCCCTCACTATGTAGCTGTTCGTTCCCTTATCAAAATGCTCCTCCGTCCAAGTCAACGGGAACTTCAACACTAAGACCTCCTTCATCTGCCCGTCTTTCTCCCAGACCTCGAGGTCGAAAAGTGAGTCCACAGTCATGCGAGTGACGAGTTTGACAACGTAGTACCCGTCTTTGAAAGTATGGACGAAATCTAGATATGCCCGAAACAGCCTCCTCGGCTGCTTCAAAGACATCCAGCTGTGTCGACCCTCGAACATTTTTCATTGAAGATGGAAGATGCAGAAGAAAAGAGTCGTGACCCTGATGTTGAGATGTCGATAAACGAGCTCGTACGTCCGCACGAACGCGATTGCATTCAGATGTAGCTGCGAGGGCGTCAGCCGCAACCATTCAAAAACTTCCCGTTGAAAATCAGTGAAGGGCAGACGCAAGCCTGCTTCTCGGAACGTAAATTCATAAATAGGGAACCTCATCCCCTTAAAATCTGAGCATATCCGATGGTTTGCTCGTGGTTTGTACACCTTCAAGTTCAAAGGGGAACCCCCACAGCGGTCATCGACCGTAGCGTAAGCATCAGACTCATCCACGACGAAGTGGAAAGAAATACTCAGGGGCTCCTCCCCGGCCCAATCCACGGTAGTCTGTTTTCGCTCTTCGCCGGCCTGCGCTACCGGGGAATTAGGGTCGTCAATTTCAACGACCTCATCAATCCAAGAAACCATCTTCACTTGAAAAGCAGAGGAAAACAGTGAATTCGACACTCCATATCAAATTCAACCTTCCAATGCAGATAAAGTGAAATGGCGAAAAGGAGAGCTCCTCCAAAGGGAGAGCCTCCCTCGCCTCAACAGGCGAGAACCGAATCCCCAAACTCTCATCTAACGTCCCCAGATATCCTCCAAGGGAATTTACAATATTTTTATTATTTTTTAAACTTAATGGTATAAATTATTTGAATTAATATATTTTATCATGAATATATTTATGTTTAAAATTAATTTTAATTATTGAAAATTTTATAATTCAAAACTAAAATTGATTTAAATTCTTAAAATTTCTTTTTTAAGTTCAAAATAGAAAATCTATAATTACAAACCTTAAAAGAGAGACACTCTTATAAATGAAGCAAGAAAGAGAATACATTATGATTAGACATTACATAATAAATAAATGATAGATAATAACAATTTTATCAAATTATTTTTATTAATTATTGATGTATTTTAATTATCAAATTATTTTTATTAATTATTGATGTATTTTAATTATCATTAATTATAGATACAATTAAAAAGATAAAAATTTAAAAAAAAAAATTGAAAACTAAAAATAATATTTGTTTTAAGACAAAATATTTACAAATATGATATATATTTGGGATGGAAGCCTATTTTGATGATGGTTAGAATTGTGTTCACCCATTTGTGTCACTCACTCACCCCCACTTCCTTTCACTTTGATTTTGACTACTAAACTTGTTAGCACTTCATGTAAGAACTGCACCTTCTAAATGGTTTTATTATCCAAGATTGCTACCACCATGTTCTCTATTTCACTATTCGCACCCTCTTCCATTCCAACTTCAACTGTAAGTAAAACTGCATTCTATAATTTTCCTTCAAAGTTGCCTTCAATCAATTCTCATACTCTTTTGCTTTTCTGATTCTCTAGGTTGTCAAGTTGGAAACTTTTTCGCTGAAAAATGGTGGGTTTGTCAGAATTAGAAGTGTTAACGCTCTTTCAAAGGTACCCAGAAATCCAAAATTAGCATTATGTTGTTCTGTTTCGGCTTCGGGTGATGCCAATGCCTCTGTTCAGACTGATGTTCCTTTCCCCTTTGATTATTCTGAACTTCTGGAACAAGTTAGTGTTTTGTGATCTTTCCTTTGCTTCAATTTTTTGGTTAATTGCAATGTTTAGTTTTGATTTTGATGGACAGACATAGTTGGGGTTTGGTTATATCAGTATTGTGGAGAGTAATAAGTTGAACTAATTAGGTTCTGTTTGAACAAATAGCTTAATTAGAGTATATAGCATGGTTTTAAACTGCGGTTGTAGGTTGCGATTGTGGTCATTGTGGTTGCTGTGATGCACATTACGGCCGTTGTGGCGTGAGTTTTGATTAAGAAAAGTTTGAAATACACTGTTAAAATACACTTAATGTTAAGATTTTTCATAAGTAAATTAAATTTTGAGGTTATACATTTTGAGTTTTGACGAAAACATTTGAAAAAAAAACGTGTGCAAAGTTGTCTGATGTGGTTCATAATGTGGAAGGACGCCTGATTTCAAATCACATTGCAATTGCAGTCCAATGCGGTTGCAGAGACTACCACCTCAACAATATTGCACCCACAATTGTTGTTGCATACCACAATTTAAAACCATAGTATATAGCATAAGTGTTTATCATATATGCGGATTTTGTGTATTTCCATCAGGCTGGAGTTGCAGTGGAATTGGCCATGAAGGATAACAAAAAGCTAATGGTGAGTCATGTCTTGTAATATTTTTATAAGGAATTGAGAATGAAAGTTACACTCTCTAAACTGAGGAGAAAATCTAGTGGAGCCTATAATGAACAACAATCTTAAACAGGAAATTGAGTTTCCCACTGCCGGACTCACATCCGTACCAGGTCCTCTATGTATTTCAGTTTCCTGGTTTTTTTTGGGTACAATTGTTTCAACTTGTGTGTAAATAGATTCATTTCGTTGGTCATATCACAGGTGATGGTGAAGGTGGAATAGAGATGACTGGAAGCATGCAATTGATTCGTGAATTTTGTGACCGCTTCATTTCGTCCGAGAAAACCACACGAACAAGAATAGTAATCTTCTTGATTTAGAGCACTATTATTCTTTATGTTCGCAGCTTTCCTTTCTTGATGAAATATAAAGGCTTTTCTTCTTCACTTCCAGTTGAAATTGATACACAACCTTGTTGTAAAAATCAGTTTTTTCCAGAAGCTAATGAAGTCGACTTTGCTAGACAATCCGTCTTCAGTGGAGCTTCTTTTAAGTTGGACTATCTGACAAAGCCTTCATTCTTCGAAGATTTTGGTTTTGTTGAGAAAGTAAAAATGTCAGACAGAGTGAAGGAAGAAGATGAACTTTTCATCGCAGCCTATCCGTATTTCAATGTCAATGGTAGATCCAAACTCTTTGTTATTGTTAATATAAACAATGGAAGGAAATTTCATGACATCTGGTTCGTTGCATTTCAGAAATGCTTGTTGTGGAAGAACTTTACAGAGAAGCTGTCTTGAACACTGAACGGAAACTAATTATTTTTAACGGAGAACTTGATCGTATCAGATCTGGGTGTATCCTTTTGCAAAATTATTCAGCTGTTTATTGAGGTGTCAAAAATGTTATTTACTCGAAAGTCTCAATCTCCTTTCAGCAAATAGTTATCCTTGAATGGATCAAGATTATCCACCGTTCTTTTACCCGAAGCTTGCTGAACTTACGAAGTCCTTTCTACCTGCGATGGAAACTGTGTACTACATTCATAATTTCAAGGGTCGTAACGGAGGAGTTCTTTTCAGGTCTGTAAGCTAATTAACTCGATTAGTTTATTACATTGGAAAGTTAAACAGCTTAAAGGGTGACAAACGTGCACGTCCGCCTGTTAAGACCCGACCTGCCAGAGTCCATAAAAAAAAAGACCTTTTATAAATTAACATGTCATAAGTTATTTATACAAGCTCTTCCAAATAGTCTGACAAATTCATTTCATGTAGGTGCTATCCGGGTCCTTGGAAGATCCTGAGAAGAGTGGGGAGTAGTAAATATGTTTGTCTACATCAGCAGGATACTATGCCATCCCTCAAGGAAGTTGCTCTTGAGATTCTTCCAACAAATTGATGTATCTGTTAAATAACAGTAATGGTAAGAAATTTCAGCTTCCTTTGTGTCCTGAATTGGTGAATCCACTACTAGTATGGTGTTCTTTTCAATTCTCAGAGCTACAATTTTGTTTTGATTATATGCCTTATACAAAAATCAATTCACTGTCTCTACTTGTCTCGGAGTGAAAAAAGATTAATAGAAAGAAAACTTACAAAATTTTGTGTACTGATGAGCAACAGGGGTTGGTCTGCAGCTTCTTGGGAGATCGGAATTGATGTCAACTGTTGGCATCTGATGAGGGAGGGATTGAAGGCTGTGGCTAATAGAATTGGCAGCTTCTAGTGTTGAAATGGTGTTAATATTTGAATAGATACCAAGTTGTTGCTGACTTGCTGTACAGTTTAGAAATTCATTTGGGACATACAAGTTTTATGTGTTTGTGTGTTGTACAGAATTTGTCATTTGTCAACAGGTACAGACACACTAGTGTTTTAAAAAATGGTTTAGACCGTCTGGTTAACTATTGAATCGATCATGTAATCAAAACAGTGGAAACTGGTCTAACTAGAAGAAAAAAGAAATTCGATGAATCGGGAGTTTATACAAAAATCGGGGGGGTTATGTTCTCTCTTTCTTTTTTTTTCCTTAAAAATCAAAATGACATTTTAAAATTAAAAATAAATAAATAAATAAATAAATAAATATATATATATATATATATATATATATATATATATATATATATATATATATATATATATATATATATATATATATATATATATATATATATATATATATATATATATATATATATATATATATAAAACAAAAATTCAAAATAGAAAATAAATTTTAAAATAATAGTGGAAAATAGAAAACATGTTACATATCATAGTTACTTGATGTACAAGTTTTCTATTTTTCCTATTTTTAGATGGTAAGTTTGTTAGGAAGTTGGTTAGTTAGATAGTCAATAACTTCTTTTAATCTCTCTATATAAGGAAGATCACTCTCATAGTGTATGTAAGGATACTACCTTTCTTTCATCAATATTGAAGAGTTTCTTCCATTGTAAGTTATTCCATTAATATGGTATTGCGAGCAATTTTTGCATTCTCTTTTCAATGGCTCTTGCCAATTATTGAGATTTCTCAACCAATTCTTCTAATCCTTGTTATCTTCACCTTAATAAAAGTTCAACTCTCATTCTTGTATCATCTCCATTGGATAACAAGAACTATCATTCTTGGGTCTATCCAATGAACATCGCATTGATCTTCAAGAACAAAGAAAAGTTTGGAGATGGAACTCTTCTCAAACCTAATGTATCTGATCCGTTGTATGCACCATGGATAGGTTGCAACACCATGGTCCTTGCATGGCTTCGTCGTTTGATCAGTAAATGTATTGCAAGATAAGCTCTCTTGATCGAATCTTCAGCTATAGTATGGTTGATTCTCAAGACCCAGTTCTCTCAAAGCAACATTTTTTGAATCTATGATATTCAGAAAGAACTCTACAGGCTTTGACAAGGTATTTTGGACAAATATTACTTCACCAAGTTGAAGGTTTGTTGGAATGAGTTGGCGAATTATCGTTCAATTCCTCATTGCAAATGTTAGATTAAATGCAGCTGCAATGCCATTGATTCTTTGCAAGTCTATCGAGATCAAGACTATGCCATCTATTTTCTCAAATGACTCAATGAAAAGTTCAATGTCACCAAATCTCAGATTATGCTTATCACTCCTTTACCAGACATTGACATTGTTTTTTCATTGGTCATTCAGAGAGAGAGAGAGAGAGAGAGAGAGAGAGAGAGAGAGAGAGAGAGAGAGAGAGAGAGAGAGAGAGAGAGAGAGAGAGAGAGAGAGAGAGAGAGAGAGAGAGAGAGAGAGAGAGAGAGAGAGAGAGATAGAGAGAGAGAGAGAGAGAGAGAGAGATTTCCATTCCTCTTCTTGATCTCCCTCTCTCTGATGCATTTGACCAATATTTAACCCTTGCAACTTTCTTTGCCAATACTTCTCAAGTAAGCCCAAATGGAAATGGACAGGCCCCCCTCGAGGCACTAATAAAGTTTTTACTCGTTGTGAAAGGACAAATCACATTTTTGATACTTGCTTTGTGAATCATGGTTATCCTCTAGGATTCAAAAACAATGGCAGGGTCTCTCAATCAAATGGTTCTGATGATTCCAAAGGCAACAATGACACATCTTGTGCAGGTTCATCAAACTCCAAGTCCTTTGGTTTTACTCAGGAACAATACCATAATCCCCTTGGCTTGTTACAACAATCACAACCTAATTTAAACTCTGAAGGTGATAGTGTCACTAGTCTTATCTTGCCTTGACTTCCAAGTCATTTCTACCTGATGTTAAGCACCTTAACTTTTAGATCTTGGACATTGGTGCCACTGATCACATTACTTTCACTCTTACTTATTTCTTATCCTATCACACCATATAACCAATTTCAATTTCCTTACCTAATGGTACAATTGTCATCACTAATATTTATGGTTATGTGACCCTTTCTCCAACCCTTACATTGAATCATGTCTTATACATTCTCACTTTTCATGTTAATCTCATTTCAATCCCTAAACTTGCCTTGTCCAATAACTGTTGTGTTTAATTTACTTCTTACTATTGTCATATTTTGCATACCTCTACCAAGAAAATGATTGGTATAGCTAAAATGCATAAGGGATTATATGTGATTGACATTTCAAATATTCGGTCTGACAAATCTATATGTAATTTTGTTTCTCGTGCCAATTCTATTACATGGTAATATAGACTAGGTCACACTACTCATATTGGATTGCATGCCATTTCAAAGTTTTTACCATTTGTATCTACTAAGAATATGTGGTCTCCTTGTGACTCATGCCATTACGCTAAACAAAAGAAATTGTATTTTCCTTTAAATACTTTTGTTTCTCATTCTTCTTTTTATTTACTACGTGGTGATCTTTGAGGGCCCATTTTCATCTGTATCTCTCTAAGGCCACAAATATTTTCTCACTTTATTAGATGACTTTAGAAAGTATACTTGGATAATCTTCCTAAAAACTAAAGATGAGAGTAGAACCAAAATCATCAACTTTATCTCAAACATAGAAAACCAATTTCACACAACATTAAAGTATTTCACAACTCATAGTGGTTTTGAATTTTCCATAGATTCCTTTGTTCAATCAAAATGTATCATTCACCAAAGGTCATATGTTGAGACCGCACACCAAAATGGTGTGGTGGAGAGAAAACACCAATATATCTTTAATATGTCTAGATCCTTCTATTTCCAATCCAACATACCCTCACCATGTGGAACTTTAGAACTCAACATGCCATTCACATCACAAGTAGACTTCCCACTCCCCTTTTCAAATACAAAATCCCCTATGAAATACTCTATAATAAATCATCTTCCATTACCCATATCAAATTCTTTAGATATATATTTGATGCTAAATCTAGAAAGGTTGTCTTTCTTAGTTTTAAAGATAGAACTAAAGGTTACATCTTATATGACCTTATCTCTCACAATATATTTGTTTCAAGACATGTCATTTTTTATGAAACAAATTTTCCCTTTCATGTGATATGCTTTTAAACAAGGACATCAACTTTTGATGATGCCAACTAAAGCATTACGATTGGCCAAGCATGAATGATTAAACAAATAAAGATGCAAACCTATATTTAGGGTTTGATAAGCTTGACGATCTGATGATGACAAACAAAGAATGCAACTAAATCCTTATATCAACCCACTCAAGCATGTGTTAACATAAAAAGGAGTATCTGACAAAAGATTGAATCTATATTTGGTGATCTTATGATTTAGCATTAGTGGTCTCCTTTTTTTATTAATGAGTGAACTATTATAAGGAAAAAGGACTTTAACGTATAAGTATAAGGGTAAAATCACACACATACTAAAACATTTTTCAAATTGTTTTATCAAAGAAAAATCTTCAAAAATATCGTGAAGTTGTGTCACACTACAATAAACAACGCTCTTTATATGCTCAGAGTTTGAGATTTGATTCCCAACTCCTGCAGTTTTATGTTTTATGCCGAACCAAAAAGGCGCCTTTGATTTTTATAGATTTTTTGTCAGATATGTTACCTCGATTTTAATTAAAACCGAGATACATAGTTTCTATTTTTTTTATTCTTTTAGGAACCAAAAAGGCGCCTTTATTTTTTAAATATTTTTTTATTCTTTTTGGAACCAAAAAGACACCTTTCTTTTTATTCACTCAGTGTCTACCTCATTCGCTTCTCGAGCCCTAGAGAAAGAACACTTCTTCTCTAGTCAACGAAAGAACACTTATTTTCCAAGGATCCCTAGCGAATAAAAAAACGCTCTCACCATTATTCTCCGGTATGTTATTATTGTTGTTCTTGTTCTTGTTATTGCTTTGGTCCATTACTGCTGTTCTTGTTATTCTCCATTACTGTTGTTCTTGGTATTCTCTTTATATTTTTTATTCCCTCAATATCTACCTCATTCACTTCTCGAGCCCTAGCGAAAGAACAATTATTCTCCAATAAACGAAAGAACACTTATTTTATGTGTATCTGCAAGTGCACGGAAATGTCTGTTATAGTATAAAAAGTGTCGAACCCAAAGAGACCAATGTCAACCGATTGTAATCTATTGTCTCTTTGCAAATCAAAGGCTAATCGAGAATATTTTGGATTTTTATGAAGGAAACTAAAAGTGAGAATAATAATTGGTTTAAGAAATATTAATAAAGCGAGACCAGAATGTAATTTTTAACCGCGCCTATAGGACTCAATAAATTATTGGTGTTTGTTTTGGTTTTTAAAATATTTTTTGGAAGAAAGTATCAATTTAAAAACACTACTTACTTTTGCACAGCCCGTGTTATGTTTTAAAATCGTAAACGCTTAGTTGTCGTTGTCTCATTTACAATTTTGAAACACTCTTTGAAAACCAATAAATCCTAATTAATTCTAAAGAGTTGTCGCGGTG